CCACCAATTCCGGAATTGCGTGAACTACTTCTAATTACGGAATTACATGGAATTCCTACCGATTCCGGAATTAGACGGAATTCCTACCAATTCCGGAATTAGACGGAATTCCTACCGATTCCGGAATTAGACGGAATTCCTACCAATTCCGGAATTGGACGGAACTCGATCAATTTTCGAGTGGGTATCGGATATTATGTGTCGATCGAGTTCCCGGAATTGAACGGAATCGATTCCGGAGCGGAACTGGTTCCTGAAATGTTCAACATTGCGGAATAGGATGACTGCTCAATCACACCCACCCCGCCTATCTATCTGAAGATGTCCGTTTCGAGAGTGAAATCTCCATTATAGCAGTTGCTCACATTCATACCCTCAATATGAACTGTTCCAAATAACAATATGTTTCTTTAATATATACGTTTTATTTCAAAACAGAATATAATGACATTTGGTCTATTCCGCAAGTCTTTCTCATAAACATATGTCCAACCATGTATTTTTGGCCGAAATTTTTTGTAGATATTGTTTCCATTTATCTCCGATTTGATTGCTGTGGAGCCAGAGTTCTGTGAGTGTCTGTATGGAATAAGAAAGATGAAGATAAGAAAAGTATAAAGAATGGTGTTTTCTCTCACTCTGTTCTTTTGTAAGGCTTCACCAAGAGCTTGTGCACCGTTCTCTCCGATTTGAGTGTGTGCAAGGTGGAGTTCTTTGAGTGTCTGTATAGAATAAGAAGGATGAAGATGCGAAAAGTATAAAGAATGGTGTTTTCTCTCACTGTGTTCTTCTGTAAAGCTTCACCAAGAGCTTGTGCACCTTTATCTCCGATTTTATTGTCGCAGAGGTGGAGCCCTATGAGTGTCTGTATAGAATAAGAAAGATGAAGATGAGAAAAGTATAGAAAATGATGTTTTCTCTCACTCTGTTCTTCTGTAAGGCTTCACCAAGAGCTTGTCCACCTTTCTCTCTGATGTGACTGCTGTCGAGGCGGAGTTCTTTGAGTGTCTGCATGAAATAAGAGAAATGAAGATGATAAAAGTGCAAAGAGTGGTGTTTTCTCTCACTCTGTTCTTCTGTAAGGCTTCACCAAGAGCTTGCGCACCTTCATCATCGAATTGATTGTTTCTGAGGTCGAGTGATATGAGTGTCTGTACGAAATAAAAAAGATGAAGATGACAGAATTATAGAGAGTGAGATTATCCCTCACTGTGTTCTTTTGTAAGAGTTCACCAAGAGCTTGTGCACCTTTCTCTGTGATTTCACTGCTGTCGAGGTGGAGTTTTGTGAGTGTCTGTATGAAACAAGAAAAATGAGGTCGAGAGAAGTGCACAGAATGGTGTTTTCTCTCACTGTGTTCTTTTGTAAAGCTTCACCAAGAATTTGTGCACCTTGATCTCGGATTTGATTGTTGTTTAGGTGGAGTTCTTTGAGTGTCTGTATAGAATAAGAAAGATGAAGATGAGAAAAGTATAAAGAATGGTGTTTTCTCTCACTCTGTTCTTTTGTAAGGCTTCACCAAGAGCTTGGACACCGTTCTCTCCGATTTGGTTGTATCCGAGGTTGAGGAAAGTGAGTATCTGTATAAAATAATAAAGATGAAGATGATTGAAGTGCAGAGAACGGTGTTTTTCCTCACTGTGTTCTTTTGTAAGACTTCACCAAGAGCTTGTGCACCTTTATCACCGATGTTATTATAATCCAGGTCGAGTTGTGTGAGTGTCTGTATAAAATAATAAAGATGAAGATGATAGAAGTGCAGAGAATGGTGTTTTCTCTCACTCTGTTCTTTTGTAAGGCTTCACCAAGAGCTTGTGCACCGTTCTCTCCGATTTGATTGTGTGCAAGGTGGAGTTCTTTGAGTGTCTGTATGAAACAAGAAAAATGAAGTCGAGAGAAGTGCACAGAATGGTGTTTTCTCTCACTGTGTTCTTTTGTAAAGCTTCACCAAGAACTTGTGCACCTTTCTCTCCGATTTGATTGACGCTGAGGTAGAGTTTTGTGAGTGTCTATGTGAAATAAGAAAGATGAAG